GGAATCCTTCACTGGCTATGTCAGTTAGCTTTGGGAACAGCACAGCAAGCTGGCCCTGACAAACCACAGCAGTGACTCTACCTGCTTCCTGTGTTACAACTACTGCAATCATATCTTGGGTAGTTTTCAAGGGTAGAGTAAGTGTTATTCCCTATTGGTATCAGTGGGCAGGCTCCAGACTCTTCCTTTTAAGTACTTTAAAATTGTACGTGTGTATGTTTGCCGTGAGTGCTATGGTTTGGAAAGCGTGTCATTAGTGACAAGCTGTGTTTATGTTCCTATGGAAATGGAATTACTTGTTCTTGCTGTGCCTCATACATTTGAAACATGATGTTTTGGATGATAGTAAAACTATGTAAACTGCATAGTGCTGTACATCCCATGGGATGAGAACGTAAACTTTTATAAAACTCTCTTTGATGCTTAGGATGACTAAAGAGCATTTGTGTTAAAATGGCATACTATGTATGTGGTACACTGAATCTTTTCTGAAGCACAGTCTCTTTTTCATATGTCTGTTATTTAATGCTGCTCCTATCTAACACATGATCTTAAACTAATGATTTCTAGTTTGATACTGGTATGGTCAAATGAATAAATCCAGCTCAGTGCCTTAAGACATGGTCAGTCTGTTCTTTTGTCTTTGAAAACAATATAGGGCTGTGACCCATATCTGGACCAACCTCCCCTACCATGGCCCAGGTACACTACACACATCATTCCACTTACTGGAGAGGAGTGTTTCTGGCAAAATCTCATTCTCAGACCCAAACACTCCATCTCAACTGCATGGATGTTCCACAGTGGTTGTGTACAACATGCAGTGCTTCAGTCCTGATGTTAATTGCTGCAAACAATCCTGTTGGGATTAACCCACCTGCTCTAGTACTTGTTGTAAAATCTCTTGATGACTGTCTGCTCTGAGGAGAGCTGCCTGAGGGAGCTCTCTTCATATTTGTCCTTGCTGTAGTGATCAGGATAGTCAAGGATCAGACTTTCAGTGTAGCTGACTTACAGAAAACATGACCTGATGGTCTGGGTGCTCACCTTTGCCTTGAGAGAGACCTGGGATCAATTTTCTGGTCTTTTGCTGATGACTTTTGATCTTTAATAAGATTCACAGAGTTAGTAGGAAGCAGCTTTTAGGGTAGCTCGAGTTAGGCTTAAAATCTCTTCCCCAGTTTCCCTTCTGTAAAATTAAGGTGTTTATCCCCATGAAATAGTGGATAGATGCTATGCAAATGCTTATCAAATGCCTAGATACTTCAGCAATGAGATCTGTATTGGAATTACAGGCTGCTAGGAGGATTTTACCATTGCTTGAAAAATGTTACACTGATTTTTCTTTTTTAATGACGTCCTCTTCTCTCCCACCCAGTTAAGTGATTTAGCATAGAAATCTGCATATGGGGACAGGCTCACTACTTAATATTTGTTCTTAGTATATGACTGTTATATATCTTCACACTATGCAGGTAATGAGTGACCAGGTTATCCAAAGTCATTACAGTTTATGTATTGCTACATGTAGGTGCTAAGGTTTGGCTGAGTGAACCATAGCTCTGTATAGGCACATCCACAGATTTCAACAGTGTGAGGTTTCATGACAAATGCCACTTCAGAGGACTGGTACACAGTCATCAAATAGCTGTTCAGGTACACTCAACACAAGCATCGCTACCAGCTCTGTGAGCTTTCTAACAGCTGAGGACTATTTCTCAGGTGAGTCTCAGGCTGCAGCTAAGCGGGGATTTCTCTGTGGAGCAATATATTATATCCCAGGCATATCACATCCCTAAAAAGTGTATCCCACAGTGGTTGACTGCTGATCACTGTGTAGGTTCACCTGTTTGTGCCACTGCCTGGGGAGGGAGGTCAGGGAAATCATCTGGGTTAGAAATAACCTGGGAGGGTAGAAAAGACTTGGAGGACAAATTGGAAGAAGGAGAAATAGAAAAGATAGAATAGATAGGTTTTCTTGCCTGGAAGTTAAGTGAGCTTCCCTGTTAACCCAAATGGAGGTTTGACAGAAACTGCAGCAGAAGTATGGAGTTGTTTGCCATGCTCCCTGCACACTGTGCTGGCAGGGATGGGGAGGGAGGCCCTTGGCTACATGCTTGCAGCTTTGTTGGGACCTTGGGGAAACCACAGTGTTGCTCTTCAGGCTAAATGGCAGGAGCAAAGAGGCATCTGGAGAAGGGACACTGGAGGTGTGACACAGCAGCTGGGATGACCGAACAGGTTGGTTGGGAAGGGTTGGGGTGTAGTGAGCTGCATGGTGCTGTGCGTGGCCAAAACAAGGAGGGTTGGTACAGCTGGTAACAGGTTCTCCTGGGGCTGTACCAGCTGCTTCTGGTGAAGGATTGGGCACTGCAGGCAAGGACTTGGCTCCCCAAGCTTTGCTTTGCATCCTGTGCCCAGGGGAGGGCTTTGCACATTGCCAGTAAGGGAGCAGCAAAGCACTATTTGTAGACTGAGCATCCTTTTGTTTTCCTTACAGGGAAGGCCTAGCAAGGCCCATGTCTAAAACTGTCATCATCCAAAGGTAATAATTTAGGCAATGGGAAAACAAGTCCTTTATGAACAGTGCGTGTTGCCCAAACTCAGCAACGCCCCAAAAAAAATCCAGCCAGACCTTGGGAGTGGCTCATTACAGTCCCATGGACGCACTTATGCTGCTTCGGGCAGAAATAGCCCTGCAGACTGATACTGGGACACTGTGAGTCATGGGGAGGAGCCAAGCTGCCACCACAGCCACGAGCTTTCACTCATCTGCAGCCCATGTGTCCTGCATGAGAGGCAGCACCATGTGCCACCTCAGCAGTGGGGTGGCATGGCCACAGGGTCCATCTGAACTGTGCCCAGGAAAATGTGGGATGTCTGGAGAGAGGCTGTCCAAGGGAGGAGAGATGCTCCAGAGCAGAGGTGGGCAAGAGAAAATGGCTGTGCACAGGTGATCCTCATCAAAGCTACATGCAGCTGCGGTGTCACGGTCACCCATAATTCTGGTCTCAACTCTGGACCTTGTTCCAGTACGAGCCCACTTCAGAGGAAGGGTGCTGCTGTGGTCTTCACGCACAGCAGGGAAACACCCCACTTTCAGGCTATGACACTAGACTTAGCTTTGCCAATATGAAAAACTCAAACAAATTATGATGTTTGAAAAGTTTAAAATCCCTCCTGGTGCTGATAGGAAGCCATGTGCTGAAGCAGGGTGCAACTGAAGAAGGGTGAGGGATGGAAATGAGACATAGGCTGGGAGTGACTTGGTGACATGCATGCAGAGCCCAAGAGTAGGAGGCAGCAGGAAAGCATCCATCAGAGTTGAAGCTCCATGAAGCCAGTGTGCAGCCTGGGGCCTGTCCAGGCTGCTGGCAGTGTAAAGGTTTGCCTTCTTCTGTAACTCTCATTTACAGTAAGCTAAGGTCATCTTTTCCTCTTCCCCTTCTCCCCCCCTTCAAAAAAAAAGAAAAGAAAAACATGATTTGCCCAAAGAGGAAGCCTTCAAAACTGGTATATGAATTTCCAGTGTAAGTCTTTTTCCCTTTGTCAGCTGCTGTCTTGCCTCTCGAAACTGCAAGTGAGCCAGAGCTGCTGCCTTGGGTCCTGCTATACTTAAGCTCAAGGCAGGGCTGACCCTGAGCAGAGCCTGTGCCTGTATCAGGCCACCACTATGGATGCTGCTTTAGGAGCCTTTATTCACCAGCAGTATAATGACCTCCTCCAGCCACTAAGCTGCTGTGTCTTATTTTTGTGCCAAAAAACCCCCTTTGTTTCCAAGTGGAGCTTGGTGTCCCCATCACCTGTGCCAGCTGCTCTCCAGCCCTGCAACATTGGGTCTCCCACTGCAATGCTGTCTGGTCAGAACATCCTGCAGTGCAGTCAGCCTGGTGGCCCTCCGAATGTAGGTGGCTTTGAAAGAGCAGAAGATCAGGTCTCACTGTCTCAGGCAGTTAGGCAAATGTCATTTTTGTGTATGTGCTAGGTAACTGTCACGGAAAACTGAACCGTTTTCTGTGTAAGAAAAGGTCTTTTCCAGCCAACAAGGAAGTACATTTTGAAGTTAACTTGGCTGTTCCACAGAAATATGAAAAGATCTTTGACTACAACACATCAATAACATATCTTGCCAAAAGAGCAACATTTTAGGGAAGGGAAATTACCTAAATAATGTTAAAAATGTTCAAGAAGCTCTGGCTCCCTTTCTGCACTGTTTTATGCAACTACTACCCCAGGTGGTTTTTTTTTTCCAGCCTTGCAGCAAGACTCTGATGTTAACTCTGGCACCTTCTCTTAGCCTTCCCTGTAGTGCGCATGAATAAGAGCAGATGTGATGACCTGGAAGGAGAAGGCCTCGAGGTGTGTCTCTGAGCTGAATGAGCAAAACTTAAAGAGAGGCATGGTATTTCCTCCTGCACTCCATGAGACTGGTAAATGGGGCCAGAAGGATTCCTTTTTCTGTGATGAAAGGGGGTGACTTTGAATGCTGGTTTATCAGGTGGGAGCTTGGGCAGCATTGCACATGCAGACAACTAAAGCCAGAATTAGCACATGTGCCTGGGACCCCTGCACACT